CAAGATCTTAAAGCGGTGCTCCGTTGCCCAGAAATGTTTGTCACATGAACAGCATTAATTTTACGATAAACCATAATCCAAATTAATTCAACTTTTTCTGGATTTCTCGGTGTTCCAATTCAAACATTTCCCACCATGCACTAGTTTGATATATCTATATTTTGAGGACAGTTTTAGTGTTATTGTAGACTGGCTACGAACGAGGCTGCAGATCATGTGACGTACTTGGACAAATATACCATGTGATACTGAAACCCATCAATCGTCTGTTATTACCAGTATTGACGTAATGAACTTCGCCCTGATACTTGCTAGTCAGTCTGAAACGACGCTACAAGTACCTGCCAAACATAAACTCGCATTACAATGCATTCCAAGTAAAGTCTTAATAGATTTTAATGCATTTGAAGAAAATTGCAGCATAACTTTATTGCTTTTACCGATCCCATTTTTACAGTGCGCGTTACAGTGCGCGTTCCTGACCTGTGCAGTGTCGTCATTACTGTGATTGTTATTTGAGAAGGTCATATGGAAAACAAATTGTCGTTGCTATGTCTTTCGTTAATATATTTGGAGAAAAAACATTACATTACAGCGAACAGACGTGGCCGTATACAATACGTTGACAATGTTTGAATCGTGCGTCTGGGTTATACTTACATAATGACAACTTTTCAACTCGCTTTATAAATTCAAGCACACCCCATTGATGTCACATAATGGTGCAGATTATTGGCGATTCCCATTTGAGTTCCTATCGAAAATTGTTTATGGTGTATTTGAATACTTATCGTGAGTATTTGCGAGCCAAAGTTGTCATTAATGGGTCATGCTGCTTCGTATATGATTGCGTGCATTGAAGCGAATTATCATTTTCTAGCTATCCGCATTTCTCTGCCAAACACACCACGTACAAATTATTGTGTATTTGGCATCTTGATTATAAACAAACAAGTTCATCAGAACCAAAACTAAACTGCTAATATTATTCACAATAACGACAAAATATCAAAATATCCGTATTGCGATTCAGCTCTCCAATGCACCCCATTAACATACTATACAATTCAATTCAATTTAATGCGGTGGTGATTGTGATATTTATAAAATCACATCAGTTTCATTCACAATTAAGGTCACGGAAAGGTGAACGGCTTTGAGCGTGTCGATTTCATTATTAGATGAAAAAATATCATAACTATGTATTATACTGTGAGCATGTAACAGCTGATGTTGATCACGTGATATCACCGCCGTGACGTCATTGTTTTATTACAGGACTTTGTCGTATTCACAATCACGCTCGAGTCGACTATAGTTCTTCCACCACATATGGTTACACATGTTTATTCATTGAATTGCACAGCGCGAACTTATAACATATTTGGTAAAGAGACGTATTTTCCATTTCTGAATTGTCAAACCCTTTTTCATGTATTTTGTGGAAAATTCAATTTTATTTCAAATCGATCTTAAGATGTGACACCGAGACCATGATCTCTGTCAATTTGATGATAAAATCGATGTCGATCCTATGTACGCCGTCTTATAAGCGAGGAGGATTAGCGCGAATTCGACGGAGATGGATAGTGATCTTTAATGATATTATGCCTTGTTTTTTAAAAGGGCATGATCTGCGTTTCAATTTAGCATTGTTTTTAATCTTGAACCTTAAAGCGGGGGAGTCGTCACTTGCGCATGCGTCAGATGGCCATAGCGTGTCATTGTTTACAAACAAGCGTCTACCCATGAGCCTTTGCGTTTTAGCGTGTTGTTATCTTATGCGTCAGATGGCCATAGCGTGTCATTGTTTACAAACAAGCGTCTACCAATGAGCCTTTGCGTTTTGCGTTTTAGCGTGTTGTTATCTTTGCTTAGGACTCGATTCCCGTGCGTGCGCAGGTGACGATCCTCCCGCTTTAATATAAGCTTTGCGGAATCAACTGAACGTATGTACATGTGCATGTATTCTATGCATGTGCAAATATAATGTAACCAATTTGCATACTATTATTATGAATATATGTCACATGACATGTATTTACTCATGAAAAGTGTCATTGGTGTGATAAATCAACAAAGGTGGCCAGGTTTTTATCACTCCCGTGTGTGTGTGTGTGTGTGTGTGTGTAAGCGTCCGTTCATTCGCCTTCAAACTTCACACATACATTTTCATGTCATGATCCGATTTAAGATGACCATTTTAGTGTCCAAAAATAAATTTATATGTTGTCCAACATTTCGGTCATCCATGAACAGATTTCATTCAAATCGAACCAGGGAAGTTAAGTGTATAAAAGTTATAAATTTAAAGCGCGGTGGTCGTCGCGCAGCGCGTGTTCGAATTTCATGTAAATAAACAATGTATTTTACACGCGTTGTATACGTCGCTATGAGTCCCACATCGAACAGGACGCGGCAAGACGACTGCCGCCCTTTAATTTTGCTTGCGCTGGAAAAGGTGAACTCCGTTGAGTATACCGAGTACAAATGCTGTTATTCTTGTATGGCTTTGGAGAAGCTGGCTCAACCAGTTAGAAATGAAGCAGTATTTGAAAAACTTTTAAAAGCTAGGTGCCAGCACTGGCAAGGAAGCGTAAGTGACCAAGTGAACTTAAATCAATATAAAACTTCGCTATGTATTGATAAGTATCTTCTGTTTATCGATTTTAAAATTCTTCAAGCCTCGGTATTTGGGATAAGAGTACCTGCACACAAATTAATTTGGTTGATACTTATAGGTCCCTGGGGTGAATAGGGTTCATATGGTCTGCATTCTGAACATACTCGAAGACGTACGAGTATCATTTTTGTTTTGAATGTCGATTGTGCCACGAATTGAGAAAGAAACATATACATCACTCCTACGTGAAAAATCCTTATATAAGAAAATTTACAGTTTTCATGTCTATTCATTTTTATTTTCGCATAACGCTAATGCTGTTACGTTCATATATGGCATGTTACGTTATTACTATTACGTCTATATGTGATGTAATACTCTAATACTGTTACTTCCATATATGGCGTTTTTACTTTGGCATCTATACATGACGTATAACGTTATTAATGTTACGTCCATATGTGATACATTACGTTAATACTGTTTCGCCAAAATATGATGTGTAACGTCATTACTATTAAACCAAAATGTGATGTGTAACGTTATTACTGTTACGTCCATATGTGATACATTACGTTAATACTGTTACGCCAAAATATGATGTGTAACGTTATTACTGTTACGTCCATATATGGTACATAACGTTGACACTGTTACGTCAATATATTACGTGTAACGTCATTACTGTTACGTCAATATATGATACATAACGTTAATACTGCTACGTCAATATATGACGTGTAACGTCATTACTGTTACGTCAATATATTAAGGGTAACGTTATTGTCACGTTCATATCAATTTATTAACACCATAATATTATTAATGTTACATTACGTTCATGTCAGCTGTTACATATCGTCTATTGGAAGTATAATCTCTAGTTAAGATGAAAACCTTCTTGATTATTTCGCCAACAATTGTATCTAGGGTCAATATATCCTATATACGTGATTGTTAATTGGGTATCTGATGACGTCAGTGACATATTGAATTGCTTATTGCCGGAAATGACCCAGTGACGTAGAGTATGAGAGATTTCAGTGGAATTCCATTCGAGTATTACTAGGCCAACGTAAACTCTTTTATTATTCGCTGGGTTTTAATTTCGCTATTTTCGACAATACGTTCAGTCAGTTAAATTAAAATCCACGTGAAAAATTACGATCGAAATTCAGTGAATATGCTCACAATTGTGAAGTTTAAGTGAAAATGAATGTTTTTACACTATATATTAATTACAATGAAACGAATACTTTTACGGGAAAACGCGGAATATTTATTTGAGTGATGCAACGTACTACACTCGACGTTCTCGCAGACAGTTTTGAAAATCTCAATCACGATAACTTTTAGTCACGTGCTGTTTAATTTCCTCTCTGGCTGTCCCTATCTGATACTTGCCTTGAAGATGTACATTATCGCGATAACTCCTTTGATACCGTTAGTGACTGACGGTGCTCCCTATACGCGGTATCATATTTTGGTAACGGTATGAGTTCAGTTGAAGCGCAATTGAAACAAAAAATCGATTACGCGATCTAGTCCAGAGGAGCGATTAGCATAAGCGAAATGCATTAATTTATCATTATCTAGTAGCCAGAACGGCAACGGCGAGGCTAAACTCGATGAGTGATGAGTTTGCCGCTATACACAATGGATCGTTCAGATAGCTGTAATCGTTTTCCTTCCCCGCGATATATGTAATTCAGCTATTGCGGTGGGTGCGCGACGTTTGTAACGATGTCTGTAACTGAGGAAATCATCCCCCTTGGAACGCCTGCACGCATTCATGGCGCCGATGCGGTGACACAATGACACTCAGGAACAATCCATGTGCAACACCAATGGCGCGTGAAGGTGACTAGTGTATTTAGGGACGTTACCCATGTGGAAGTTATCACGCAATAATACCGCTCAGCACTGCAGACATGACTGGAGTTATACCCAATAACACGAACGTAAAGCAGTATAATAGTACAATGACATGTGGAAAAAACATTGACTTTTTTTAGTATTTGTGTTTGCTACCTGTTCAAATGGGGCTAAGGTCATGACTGTGAACAAAAATTACATTGTTCTCTTCCATATTGCATCTCAACATGTAATGTATAATATTGAGTATTTGTTCCACGAAACTTCGTACGCGCAATAACAATCACTGCGCATGCGTATTAGTGTTTCTCGTTTTTCATCGAACGAATACCTTTGTGTGTGCTACAAAAGCATCATTTTTTACGATAGTTTTCGATAAATACTAACATAATCTGGCCATCAACACGCAGTGTCAAACAACAATGTATCTGTTCACATGTAATACAATTACTGGCATGATATTGTTATATATTCTAAACTATGTACGTTTTCTTGTTTTTAGTTTGGCACCAAGGCAGAGCAAGATGGCGGTCTATACACCCGGCGATGAGAACTTCACAAAGCTCATGGCCAAAGCAATAAAAGATGGATTCCATTTTAAGAAAAAAGATATCAAGATTGGTGTTGATCTCGTGGAAGCAGCACTCAAACAGCTAGATTTCTTAAAGCTTGTGAACAACTACCCACAAGTGACCGAGGATCCGGTTGTCATACAAAATGCCATGATGAGGTACGAGAAGAAGTGGTTGCCAATGGCGGCGCAGTACAATCCTACAGCTCTCGTGCCTCCACTTGACGTGGAATGGATTTGGCACGTCCATATGCTCTGTCCCCATGACTACGAGAAGGACTGCATTGCTCTTGTTAACACTGTAGTAGACCATAAACTCATGAGCGCGCGACAGCGGAAAGATGGCTTAGACAGAGCTAGAAGTATCTGGAAGAGTAAATACCCAGACGAGCCATTTGACATTGACTTTCAGTCAGTATCAAAGAAAAACATTAATTTTGAAAGCCAGATTTCATATAATATATGCCAAGCCATTGAGAGACAGCGAGTCTTCTATTACCAGGTTAGTTTGCCACATTATAGGAATAGGGTGTTTCTCAAAAACGCCTTGGTCAGATATAAGATGATGCTTTACTTGAAGAAACAAAATCCCGGAATATTCCTGGTTCCTTGTTACGACATGGATCTAATTTGGCACTCTCACCAGCTTCATCCACATATATACAAAGCAGACACGGAATTCTTACTTGGAAAAATGTTCAAACACGACGACTCAGTCACTGATCGTGAACCTGGTTCCAAATTAGTCAAGGCCGATCTTATGACGAGAGAACTGTGGAAAGCAGCTTTCCAGGAGGAGTTTGCAATAAGTGGTACAATGTACAGAGGCAATCCACCAAATGAACTAGCAACTCTTAGTCCGCAGGATAGTTTAGTTGTACAGACAAAAATATGTAAAGTATACGTACAACGTATCTCCATTGACCAGCCGATGGGTCGCCAACGTTTCGTCCTTTCTGCTCAAATCTCCAATGGCTCTCGCACACTGATCAAGTTAAAAGGTCCTCAGCAGGTGTGGGAAGCTAAACCTACGGAAGGACTTGCCAAGTTCAAGTTCAACACAGCCAAACACACATCGTTACTATTCAAGTTGAAAACACCGTCAGCCATGCCTTGCTGCTCCCCTGGAAAGCCTCTTGGCATCGCGACCATTGATATACGGCGAGTATTGGATGAAGTACTGCTACGTGGAGTAGGCACATCTACGTACACTATAGCTATAATGAACGAAGGTCATACGCCTGGTGACAATACTATGACCATAACGTTAAGAATTGAGCAATCGTTTATTCAAGGAGAAAGTCTCCTGCGGCTTCAGCCTGGAAGATATGAACCAAAGCAGCCGCAGCAGATCCTTGACACTGTGACTCACCTTGCCCTTCCACTGAAAGCACCTTTATCGAGTGGTATAATTGAGGCAAGACATAGGTAGGTTTATAATGCGATTCTAGTGTAGAATTATTTTTCTTGAATACGGCGTGCACTAATTTTAATTTGGCGTGACGTTACGTGACGCGACGCGACGTGACGTGACATGACATGACATGACATGACATGACATGACATGACATGACATGACATGACATGACATGACGTGACGCTACATGACGTGACGTTACATGACGTGACGTGGCGTGACGTTGCATGACGTGACGCGGCGTTACATGATGTGACGTGACGTGACGTTACATGACGTGACGTGATGTGATATACTAAACAGTCAAACCACTAAAGAGAAACTGAACGTCACCTTATGTATACTTTGATGCTATATAAGATGTTACAAAATATGATATGATATGATATGATATGGTATGTTTTTCCCAGGGTGTTGAATCACTACGATCGCCATGTATTTACAGTACGGCTGTTGCAATCACCTGCCATGATGTTCACAGTTATTGAGGTCATGGACAATTCAGAGGTTCTATTATCAGTTGCTCACATTGTTGGTTCAAGTACTTTGCCAAATCGTGATCAGGTAAGGAGTATATAGTACACAGTGCGCATAATATTTATGTATTTCATGTAATACCCCACACAGTTATTAACATAATATAATATAATATAATTTGGGGTGTTTGAAATACTATTTGTCACGGTCACACTAAAGTACGCCGTCCAATTTTCGAGTTAGCCGTGCGATAATCGTATAATATCCCAGTAGTATTTCTCTTGCCTTTCTGTTTCAGGTGGACGATGAGCTCCAAGGCTTCCAGTGCACATTCAATCCCAGAGAAGGGCAAAGAGCAATGTTGATAAAAGGGCCACGGGGCGACTTTGGTGTGTGCGTCGGGCAGTGGGTTGGCTTCCGTGCAGGGGTGCCAGGTGTTCCCGGAGACAAAGACGCCAAAAGACGCGGAGTACGGGGTACGCCTGGTAGTCCTGGTAACCTCAAGGTGAAATTCTATGGTTTAGCAGAAAACGAACCGTTGGCGAAGAAGGAATGGAGTATGCAGCATACGGGCAATACGTTCAATATCGGGAAGCACGTATCGCTAGATGTTAGAACCGGTCGAATTACGCTTGGGGTCACATCGGATGCCCCACAGAAAATCGCAATAGCGTTTAGCGTATCCGTATTGCATGTGCTGTGCCAACCTAAACCCAAGAAGCCCGTCGATTATAGGAACAAGCCACGCGCCGCGGATCCGGATTCTATGGTATTTCTGCTAGCTGCTGGATACTACTGTTATTTACCGTATCATACCCTCTATTTAGAAGCCACAAGTGCCTGCGCTGTTGGTGTATCAGACTGTGATTTCGGCTGTGATCATCACGACGCCGGTGGGATGGATGCAATAGGAGATGCCGGTGGATGTGGTGGATGCGGCGGTTGCGGTGGATGTGGCGGGTGTGGTGGGTGTGGTGGGTGTGGCGGCGGTTGCGGTGGCGGCTGCGGCGGTGGTTGTGGTGGTTGCGGGGGTTAGGCAAACCAGCGTTGTTCCAACAATGTGTTTTGTATTATGTGATATATTATAGTCAAACTATTAGGGACCAACAGGCTTTTTGATTAGTTTTTTCACAAATTACAAATCACTATGTCAATACACTGAATTCCGTCTGAGATTTGTGATTAAACTTGTCACTGAGTTTACCAGAGTTAAATAAGCTGCGTTGTTATTTCTTGTTTCGACTCTTGTCAGTGCGTCAGTGTTAGGAGTTCGGTAAATCCATCTATAGTTGAAGGTCATGCAGTTGACATGCTTTATTATTAATCAAACGCTGGAATTGTAGACAGCGGCACAAAATGACTCTGAGCATTCGCAGAAACTAGTTATGAAATTCTTTTTCGAGTTTCAGAAGTCACACATGGCTGGTCGTATTTTCGCCTTTAGGTACATGGCAAATTGCGTAATTTTTACAGACAACTTGATAAAAACACACTGCATGCGGCTATAAAACGGTCATAAGTCAATCGATAATAATCGAACACACCAACTTTGTTACAGATATGTTTACCAATTGTGCTGTGTGATTCGTTCACACGTGCACAATAACTTTGGATGTATTTACATTTGTACTTGTTTAAAAAGTATACAAAACTGAAGAAAAAAAAAACATTTGTCTTATAATGACGTCATCTTATATATGGTTCATATCCTTTTTTTGTGTTCTACTATAACACTCTCCGTGACTTTGCCACGATTACAAACTTCGATCCGTACACTGCCAGTTGTACACATTATTATAACGACTGTGTTTTAAATTATTTGTATAATATCGGGTTTCTCCGGTTACACGTAGGCAGCTAACCCAGTGCAAAAACCGAGATATCATCAGGCACCGCGCACACTGGTGAATATTGCCAACAGGTGTGACTTAAAGCGCATGCGCACATTGTTGAATGCGTAACAGGGATAAATGAACGTATGACGTCATTGTTGCGTAATGTTGTGGTTGCTTAGGCACAGTCAGGCATATTCAGAACAGTCGTGTAAAAACAATGTGATGAATATTTTTATCTTCAGAAAATTACGTTTTGTTTATTTACCACGTTTTGTTCCATGTTCCATTCATACTAGTCTGAGATTGATGTAAACGTCTCGGTGATGTAGTCAATTGTGTTTCAACTGTTTCTCACATTGAGAAAGATAGTCCCACACCAAAAATGTTTTTCTTCAAGTATTTGTACTTTGGATTTAAAAAAACAAAACACGATGTAAATATTTTCTGCTACTGAATTCCAATCTTATAACCAGAAAGTTGGGCATAGAGGGCGTAGTTTAACTAAACGACTGATAAAACATCTAAACAGCTTAATGTCATACTGTAACACATCGTGGTATCAATTCTTTAAGGGATTCCTTGCTGGTGGGTATGTCCCATGGACTGTGTCGAATTGTGATTCAGCATCCAAACTACTTTAACGTTTCTTTCTAAATATTTTCCTTGTTTTGTGCAAGTATCGTCATTATATGACGAGGCAAGCGAATGTACGTACGTTTGTGTACGTGACTCACCACCACGTTGTGGTCGCCCTTTACAATACAGGGACGGTAAATATAACGATGGTGGTGGACTAATAAGACGGTATAGCAGCGAGTTCTGGAAGGGGTTATTATTTTTAATTAGGTTTTTGTACTTACCTAAAAACTGAAGCTTAACCCCAGCTTAATTAATCATACAATGATTGCATTTTGATTGATCGATTAATCGATTGATTGATCGATTGATTGATTGATTGATTGATTGATTGATTGATTGATTGATTGATTGATTGAAAAAAAATTTCGATTCAAAATCTTCAAAGTTTGCCATAACATTCAGTTCGAATCGTAACATTTATATCGAATCCGACCATCCGTCCTCTGGAATGATTCGTGCTATCAACAAATGAAAATGAAGCTCAGCAAACCTTCCACACATACAAAAAATGGACTTAAATAAATTAATCATACCAAATTTGACAGTGCATGTAATTTACTTATTGTTTGTTTTGTTGTTTAAACAGATTTGATTATTGTTGTATTATTATTATTAATATTTTAGTGAATCTTCCAATTTCCAACTTTACTTAGCGATCGATCATTATTATATGTACTTGTTCTTGAGGAAGTAGCATGTACTAGTATATTTACTAAATATACCTTAGAAGCAAATGGTCGCTGAGATCTCGTTGAAAGCGAGAAAGCGACGAGACTTCAAATTGTGTTCCAGTAAATAGATAACCGCTCTAGAGGGCGCCGTCTATTCACATTCAGCCGAATGGATTATTGCGCAAGACTTACCGACAGCCCTGGACTAAAGGTGAAATATGTCGCCATCTTGAAAGGCGTTAATAAAACGTTATCTCAGTAGCAAGACAAGTTTCGTGGCTGTTTCACTAAGCTTTCACGCGGAGATCTCGTTGATCATTTGTTCATGAGGTCTAGTATTAGGGTTGACTCGGATTGTTCAAGTGTATGTATATTATAAATGTCATAGAATATGACTAAGTTTTCAATCGTACGTTAACGTTTTTGTACAACTGAGTCTGTCATTTGGACTACTACGCAGTGAAATCGCTTCATTTGTAGTTTACGGTGTTGAGCGCCACCTGTGGCAACCATAGTTAATAACGTTTCGTTTTTTTTTTATATCACAACAACGTTCGGACGAATAGACGGACAATGTCACATTAACGTGGTCATACATTACAATTTTGTCATCTTTGCGTTGTCATGGAATTCATGTATATGTGACCAGTGATAATACGTCATAGCGGCGGGTATAAATGACTCATTTTTCACTATATTCAAAATATAGTGCGACTACTAGTAGTACATTATAATGGTATTACTTCAAGTTGTTTGGTGTTTGGTATTTATAAAATAATTTACCGTCCACTGCAATCTCTCCATATAGTAATTAACCAATAAGTAATAATAATCACTTACACTGCGCAAATTCACTGAATAACTCCACCAATTACAACTCTTGATCTAAGATGCCATCGCCTGACTTACGTACATATAGCTACAATGTTACGTTTCAGAGAACGGACAATAGAGCCAGTTGATCCTTTAGCTCTGTCCATGTAAAGATTTTGCATAAAATGAAATGGTGAATTTAGCGCTTCTTCAATATTTTACTGTTGAAATAATTTGTGAGTGTCTGTAATTTAATAATATATAATATAAAGGTAACTTCAATGTCACTACCGGCTCGAATTAATTTGTTGTGTGAATGTATGTGCTAATTTCAGTATTTTGAGAAAAAGTGATGTCATAGTTTGTACACCGCAATTAGAATATTTATCGCGTAAGGGAATGTATCACGTGACCGCACACAGGTCATGTGCACTATTTGATTCAAAATAGTTTTAACATTGTGGTCTATGGAAAGTTTAATTGAAGAATGAGATCCGCTTCAAAACCTGCTTCATGATCATGATGCAGTTGGAATCCTTGAATTCATTGAATCATCATGCATTGCTCGACGTTAACCTGGCGTGTGTGTCACGTGGTATTCGTATCTACCAATCCACTAATTATCTACGTGCACACGCCATTCAAAGATAACGTAGTTGGGCGATAGTGCATTCCGCGCAAATTGTTACATCCACGTTCCTTGGTGTTTTCATGGCAGTATGAGCCCGAGATTTGACCTGCTTATTTTCTCTCCCTGAAAGAATAGTACAATTGTTAATGATAAACAGTCATATGTTTACATTTTTGCCAACTAGCTTGACAATGTGCGATACCAAATGTCGCTCGCTGGTCAACACAGGCTCACGACCTGCTGCGATAACTTTTCCCATAAATTGTTTTATTACCAGGAACACACACATGTGTATTTAATAACAACAGTAGCAAACAACGCCGTTATTTTATCTTCGAGTGCAATCGACAATAAACAGGTGCGACGGTCTATTCTCGGGCGGACATCCGGGTATTTTCACCACCGAAAACGCTCATAAAACTATACTTTGGGCTAGTTGTTGAGACTCTCCTGAACCGTGTAAAAAGACTATCCCTACACGTACATACAACATGTATAAATTTGGTTGCTCGGGATTACTTCAAAGTTGAGTTTGTGCTGTTTTCTCGACATTAACAGTTTTCACAGGCTCCTCGACCGACGTTCCAAAACAGCTCGCACAGAGCCCGTAGAAGTACATGGTACTGTGGCGCGCGTCTTAGCAACGACGTATACATCAACACCTGTGCACGTGTTTGGCTGTGTAGCCTTTCGCTATCTTAAGATATAGTAAAATATTTCAAAAACCATAATCTTTATTTATAGACGACTACACTCTGAGCAGCCCCTGTGTCAGCTACTTCTACCTCTTCGTCACTAGAGGGCCCAAGGGGTTGTACCCATATAAATGTTGGCACACTTCTCAGTTATGTTTATAACATTAATTGCCAGTGGGCCGGCAGAAGGGGTAAGCAACTAGCAAAAGATAAACTTGCAATGAGTTTTAGTGTGATAATTTTCCAGTACTATATTTAAACAGTTTACTAGTATTTTCTTCATATATTTATATTATTTTAAATCAGTATTCTTGAATCATTTTATACTTTACATTTGTTATTTCTACTATATTCGCTATATATCCTTAAAGTCCATCTGTAGGAATATTTTACAATATTTGCAGCATAACTTCTTCTCCAATGATCGCAGAGGATTAAAATTATTGTTTTGATGGCAAAGTGACTATTAGCTCATCCCAAATGTTACTACATGAAGTAAAATAATTCCAAGGCTCCACCAACGCCAACAGCGTGAAATCATCATCAGTTGTATACATGTGTAAGCATTACCAGTCTTGACACATGTCGATTACAAGCGTGTATCACATCACAATATTTCTCAGACATTCCTGGCTCGATTTCATTCAAATTTTGCATGAACATCACCTATGACAGATTAATGATACACGTCAGCCCCTGTTTCTGATGAAATTAGTGACTATTTAAGACTTACATATGCTCGTCATTTTTTT